TTGGTTTGGATCTTGTAAATTGCATCTATGAGTTGCTCTTGGTTTGCTAAAATATCTTCCATTGAAGACATGCTTGATTATTGCTTGAAATTGATTGAAATTGCTTGCTATAAATTGTATTTGTACCTGATTTACTTGCTTTTTTGATGAGTGTTCGAGTGTTTGATGAATGCTTGCTTGTTTCTTTATTTGCTTGATTCTTGATTTCTTGTTTAGGTACTAGTCCCCAATGTCTTTGCGAACTCTGTACAGATTATGCGCCTTCTCAATCCAGTTGGTGAGACCCTCTTCCGGGAGGCCAAATGGACCGATTCGCTCCGTACGCGAGATTCACAAAGCACTGAGTTTTCTTGATTGTAGATAAATCCGGCTCGAATAAAGATGTATGGTCTATTGCTAGCCATACACCTTTCTTGATTATGTTGATTATGAAGAGAATGATTCAAACTCCTTGTTGAATGTAGATATTTATTACTTGATTACGTATAAAGGTACAATAATTGATTAACGAGAGTCGCGGCCACTTGTTAGGCTGCTAAATCGAACACTAAACTTAAAATAATGTAAAACATAAAATATAAAATTGGGTCAGCCGCGCATAGCAATATATTGCTGATGTTTGCAATTGTACGGTGACGCACCGTACAGAGGACGATTTTGTGAAAGCAAAAAGTTAAAGAAACTAACGGAGTGACGTCACGAGCCGAGTCAGCATGGCGGCTAGCGTTTCCGCGCTAAAAGTCAAAATCATATTTACACTCAAGTTTTAAGTCATTTATAGGCTTTTAAAAATTAAAATTAAAATTAAAATTCCACTGGTTCATTATAACCTTACGATTGATTTACAACATATTTCAAAAAAAGGTGTAAGACCCTATTTGTTTTTCTGATTGTCACTAATTCGCTCCTGTCTCCAGATGGACTGCACGTTCATGGAGAACGTGATCGCGCTCTGGCTGACGCTAAACGGGTCGGCGTTGCCTTTTGACACTGTGAACACTTACTTTGATAACGCGTCACTTCTCATTACGTCACTAATTCGCTCCTGTCTCCAGATGGACTGAACGTTCATGGAGAACGTGATCGCCCTCTGGCTGACGCTAAACGGGTCGGCGTTACCTTTGACACTGTGTACACCGACTTTGATAACGCGTCATTTCTCATTACGTCACTAATTCAATGTGTTAAATACTATTGCTATAGGTTCCCAAACTTATTTGAGACGCGCCCCCTTTCAAACATCCAAAAAATTTCGTGCCCCCCCTCGCCTCCCCTGAGGGGCGCGCCCCCCCACTTTGGGAACCAATGCTTTTATAGCGTCTGTCTTACACAAAACTTGCGCGCAAAAAGCAAATCTAGTATGTAAATCATCAAACTTCTAACGCTCGTAACTCAGTTCAGACTTAGTTTAGAGGTATACATGTCATAGTAAGTTTGGTTTATTACACTATTTTGTAATCAAAAAACAAAGTTTGGTCGATTGCCGCGCGAAAAAAAAAGACGCCAATTTCCGGCATTGTCTTTTGTAATTGGCTACAATTTTTTTTTTATTATTTTACTAATCCACAGATGGACTGCACGTTCATGGAGAACGTGATCGCGCTCTGGTTAACACTCAACGGGTCGGCGTGGGGCGGCGCGTGGTCGCTGGCCACGCTGGCCGTGCCCGCCGACATGCCGCGCGTGCGCTTCGCCCCAGACACCGTCAACGCGCTGCTGCAGTCGCTGTGCACGTGAGTACACACTTGTATAGTCTGGTCCGGGAGCACGTAGAATAGGGATGTTTCCTGGGTCAAAAAGCAAGAGTTTTAATTAGTCCGTCAGTTAACTTATCAAAAAATACTCTACACGTATTTTTCATTTTCAAACTAATGAAAATTTAAAGAGATAAAGCGCGCCAAAGTTCATAAGAAGACGCCCGTGACGTCAATGCTTGCATAAAAGTGCCGCACGTTGTGACGTCGTGCGGAACTTCAACGCACCATAACTATGTAATTATTTGTTAGATTGACAAATAAAAATATATGTGTCCAATATTTTTTGATATTAAACATGACTGACTAAAAAAATTTTTTTAGGAAACTAGCCTATTTTGTCCAATGACCCCAAGCTACCCATCCTTATCGCTCACGCGTGTTGCATGTTGCTGTCGCGCTCGCACACTCACTGCGGGCGCCCGTCGCACAGTCGCGACAGCAATATAATTAGGGTAGGTTGGGGTCATTGGACAAGATTCTACGTGCTCCCGGACCAGACTATAGCTTAAGGCTCAAGCTCAAGGTTTCCACCAATGTGGAGCGTAGCAGAGCAGGGAAGTGTGTTGAATTAATCAATCAAATTTCATTATTTCCACTTCTCGTCTCCGCTCCGTACAGCTCCACTCAACGTCGCTGTCAAATTCTATAGAAAAAATTGACGATCCGACACTTCTCCGCTCCGCTCCGCTTTGGTGGAAATCGGGCCTAAAACTTGCACGGGTACACGCCTAATAATACATGCCCGCATGTGGAAACCCGTCGCACGCATCTGCGTCACACTGCGCTGCGCCCGCGCAAGCTTGAGCCCTACGCTCAATTCCTACCCCAAAAAAAAAATCGACAATCCATAGAACACCAGATTACACAGATTGTATCAATATTGATCGACTGCCTGGCCTATAGCTTCAGACGTATGTTTGTTTATTTCCGTTATAATTTTAGTACCAAAATGTACTATAAAGCCTAAAATCCTTCAAGAAATACTCAAATTGTGGTATTTGTTTACAGATTGGAAAACGTATCGCTGAGGTGTTGGGTGTTATCCATGCAAACCCTCGCCTGGATCACCAATTTGCCTTTGCAGGTTTGTAAAACTAACAATAATTTTTCAGCTTTCGTAACCTTCAAAATCCTCTTTCTGTAACTAACATTTGTCATTATTTGCAGATGGAAGGCAGCACTCAGACTATGGGTCGAGTGATACTCGAATGCGAGCACTTCGTGCCGGCTGTGGTGAAGTTCATCACCATGAATGTTGCCACAGATGGCGCTGTGATCTCCTCGGAACCTTATCTTGTAAGTTTGATATCTATTTACATTTTCGAGCGACTATTTGATGCGGAAATGAGCATCAGATTTTACGTATTTTTTTAAAAGTTTGAGCGACTTTTTAATGCGGAAATGAGCATCACATTTTAACTATTATTTAAGAAGATTCAGACTATGTTTGTCAGCTGCTGCAGTCCTGAAGCTCTAGGGTACAAATATTATTAGATGTTGAGCACAATAATTTATCCCCAAATCATTGTTGTTATTACAATATGTATGCTCATCCATTATATTGTTGCCATATCTCAAACTTTATTTGTCTTGAGTGTTATTGCATTATATTGTTGCCGTATCCCAATATTTGCTTGTCTTGAGTCTAGCAAAGTTATTGGTGTGCCATGAAGAAACACAAGATTTAGGCCCAGAACAGACGGTGAAACGCAACTGCAACGAAACTGCAACTGCTAGTTACTTTTGAGTTGCATCTAAGTTTCTGCCATAGCGTCTGTTGAGAGACCACACATGACGCGACCAGTAGGCCTAAGATGCGCGCCACGATAAGCGGTTATCACGCCATTTTATCGATTTTGCCCATACATTTTGACGTCGATAAAAGTTATCACGGCGCGCATCTTAGGCCTACTGTTTGAAACTTTCAGTTTCAGTTTCATTCATCAGAATCATCACAAAGTTGCAGTTTCGTTTCACCGTCTGTTCAGTACGGCTAGCACGAAAAACTTTCGAGTTCAAATCGTTTGCGTACTCGAATCGCCATCAAAAGATTTAGTACGTAAACTACAACAGCGCCCTTTTGAACGTGTCGTAAAGTGAACTTAGTGTAAGAAATGGTTTCACGAAACTTATTTTGAGAATCAAAATTGTCACGTTATCGTTTAATTCGAAGGTTGGGTACGAGGGCTGCACTAAAAGTATCGGGAATGGAATATTTCCACTGTTCCTATCATATCAAAATATTTTTAATTGCAAACTCCTTGGTTTTAAACATCGAATACCATTTATTTATTTAAAAAAAGATTCTTGGTCTTATCACAAGGTCTTGTGAAACTTGTTTAGTCGTTGAGAAAATGGAATTGACTCGAGAAAATTAAAGAGCGATGATTTATTATGACTTTCTTAGTGGTTTAACACAAAAACAGTGTGTTGACCGGATGATTTCTGCATTTGGTAATGAAGCCCCATCCAAAACCACAATTTATCGCTGGTTTGCTGAATTTCAACGTGGACGTGTCAAGCTCAGTGATGATCCCCGTCAAGGTCGTCCAAAAACTGCAGTCACCTAAGAAAACGTTGATTTTGCGTAAGCTGATTGAAGAAGATCGACATGAGTGACATACCGCGAGATTCAGGCAACTTTAGAAATTAGCATGAGTCAAATACAAATAATCTTGCATGAACAATTAGGTGTAAAAAAGTTGTTTTCCCGATGGATACCGCATTCGCTCTGTGAAGAGCAAAAAGCGGCTCGCGTTACTTGGTGCGTCAGAACTCTCGAAAGATTACACGCAGGATCCTCAAATGCTGTATACAACATCGTATTAGGTGACGAATCCTGGATATGTGCGTACGAACCCGAAACAAAAACCCAGTCACGAGTTTGGGTGTTCAAAAATGAGTTAAAGCCAACAAAAATTGTTCGTTCACGGAGTGTTGCAAAAAAAATGGTGGCCACGTTTGTCTCCAAGACCGGCCATGTTGCATCTATTCCTCTTGGGGGACAAAGAACGGTTAATGCAGAATGGCATGCTAGCATTTGTTTTCCACAAGTCGTTTCTGAACTCCGTAAAGAGAACTGCAACCACCGCATCATCCTCCATCACGACAATGCGAGTTCTCACACCGCGCACAGAACAAAAGAGTTTTTAGAGCAAGAAAACATAGAATTATTAGACCATCCGCCATACAGCCCCGACCTAAGCCCTAATGATTTCTATACTTTCCCTAAAATAAAGAATAAATTGCGTGGTCAGAGATTTTTATCACCTGAAGAAGCTGTGGACGCCTACAAAACGGCCATTTTGGAGACCCAAACTTCCGAATGGAATGGTTGCTTAAATGATTGGTTTCGTTTATGGAAAAATGTGTCAAATTTCGCGGAGAATACTTTAAAAAGCAATAAATACATTTTTAAATAGTAATGTTGTTTCACTTCCTTGATTCCCGAAATTTTCAGTGCCGCCCTCGTATCAAATTTTATCGAATACGCAAACGATTCGTAGACGAAAGTTGTTCACGCTAGAGGTACTGGGCCTTACCGTTATTGTTTCGGTTAGGGCGGAGCCACAATCGGCGCGGGCGCGGGCGCCGCGTCCGCCCTGCACGCGCTGCTGTCGCGCGTGGTGTGCGCGCGCGGCGCGGCGGGCGCGCTGGCGTCGCTGCGGATGGTGGCGAGCGTGTGGCGGCGCGGCGGCGAGCCCGGCCAGGCCTACGACCTGCAGGCCACGCTGCTGCGCCTGGCGCTGTCCATCCTGCAGCTGCTCAGCGGCCGCCACACGCAGCACGCGGTCGCGCTGCTCGACACCGTCGGTGAGTGGCTGACACTTTGGCTGGCACTTTGGTGGCTGGGAATTAAGTACGGTTTACTATACAGGGTGGAATTTTGGAGGGAAAGTACTCTTATTACTGTAGATAGAAAATTTTACTCAAAGAAAACATTCCTTTTTTTTTTTTTTAAAAGAATAAGAACTGCACTCAAAGAAAGATTTCCGAAAATTTTTCGAAAATTTACCACCATACCATACAATTTTCTGTAAATAATTACAATCATATAAGATTTCATGATTTTCCTTTCAATTGATTTATCAAGTTTCTTAGAGAGATTTCATCCTTATACTTAACTCTAACGATTGATACAATAAAAATAGAGGGTGTAATTTTTAACAGATTTGAGTTGGTTCGATGCTCGAGTATGGCAAGCAAATTTTTGAAAATTTTTGAATAGAGTTTTGTTTCTTTTGAAAAATAAAGGAATGTTTTCTTTGAGTGATTTTTTTTATCTACAGTATTAAGAGTACTTTCCCTCCAGGTGGCATTACAAAATTCCACCCTGTATATTATTCTAACTAAGACATAACTTATCTAAAATAAGTCGTGACGTCACTAGCTTATTATTAGACTCATAATACAACGCACGTCTATCGATTGACCGCATTTGTGTGACGTTGAGGTGTATGGCGCGGCACAAAGCGTAAAGCCGCGTATCCACTAGAGGCAGACTCTTGCCGAGCGGCTGCCTTGTCCCGAGTGACAAAATGTGGCTCGGTCCGCGGCGACGAAATTTGCCTCGCAAAGAGTTGTGAGTCGGTTAAGGCAGTCTCCATTAAAACAGCCGCGGGTCGAGGCGGCCGCACGATCCGAGGCTGCTTCTAGTGGATACCCGGCTTTATAATATTTTTATAGCATCATAATGAGGGCTATCGTTTAAGCACTCACCAGTTAGCGCCACTGTAGAGTAAGGTCCTGTCACTCGCTAGTAGCGAAGACAGTGGCACCAACTGGTGAGCGCGAAAGTGGTAGGAGGACTGTCGCATTTGCACTCATCAAGATGGCGCCACTGTGGAGTAAGGTCCTGTTAATCGCCAGGGGTGCCAATTGTTAAGTATAAAAACGATAGCCCTCATTGACGTGCAATTCATAATGCCGTACCGTGCCGCTTAAAAATTGTTTATTCACTAACATCACTTTGTTCCCCAGCTCACATGTCAGCCGGCTGGGTGCGCGAGAGCAACAGCTCGCGCGGCGAGGCCGGGTCGGAGGCGCGGCTGTCGGGGCTGCTGGCCGACGTGCTGGGCGGCGGCGGCCGGCGCGCCCCGCTGCGACGCGCCGTGCTGGCCCAGCTGCTGCACTACTGCCGCAAGCTGCTGGCCGTGCCCTACCCGCCGCCCGCGCCGGTGAGTATTGTTAGGCATTTAACAGATGCTCTGTTTACCCCAATGTCAAAGTCTACCTTGATATCAATACAAAATGCATGCTGCATGAGCTGCAGTTGCAGCAGCCGCACCACACTAGTCTAGCCAGTGAGTCCCTGCAACATTTTGTCAGACTCAAGAAAGCAGACTTCTATGCGGTCTACGTCGTTGCGATTGTCGTCTGCAAACTTGGAAAGCGATTATCGCATGACCGGCGGTTGGTAATAGAAGAAAAACAGTCGCCCGTCAACCGAATCAAAAGGTGAATTCATGACGCAAGCTGCTGGCGGTGCCCTACCCCCATCTTGCGCTGGTGGGTTCCACATTGTTGAGCATCCAACGCTTTTCATCACAACTTTCTGGGAGCTCAAAACCCCGCTATACTCAGGGTTGGCACTCGGCGTCGCTATATCGCTGCGCGAATGCGTGTCGGCACTGCGCAGGTGACGTTTGAAAGACGTTAGTTTAAGGGATCCCTAACACGTTCACTGCGCAAGGGGTAAACCTTGACTTCACTGGTCAAAGGTGATGACCCATTACCGGAAACTTGGATTATGAAAATGACAAATAAATATGGTTACTTTATTTGTATTTATACCGTCAAAAATATTATAGTTAGTCAAGAAAGACCACTTTGTAACTGTAAAACAACGCAAGTGTTCCTCTAACAACTTTATTTTCCAATTCCAGTCTGGATCAAGTCCGAACATGTCCACGGGCGAACAGTCACAAACGGACGAAAGCAAGGCGCAGCATTCACAGCACGCGGCTACTAATGTGGAAGACGAACGCAAGCAGCAAGCTGCGAGAACGCCTTGCCACGCTGACACAGGTAACAATACACCCTAATGCTTAGTGCACAAGGTCGATTGTTGAAATGTGCGGGCGCAGCACTCATAGGATGCTGCCCCCAACGACAATCAACCCTATTTATTAATCTTTAAGGTCGATTTTTATCAAGGAAAGAAAATTAATCTGTACCTTTAATCTATCTTTTTTTGTCCACAGTACTACAACACCCACTCATTATGGAGAGATTCTACAGAACGCTGTCCATGTGCGACGGCATGAGTAACCTATTTTTGAACTCTGGTAAATAATTAATATGTACTTTATCTTATTAACTGAATAACATTGACTATTAATCAAGTGTTTAAAACATGTTGCTAATTTATTGCCTTTTATATTCAGGAATGAACTCAGAGACGGCTGGCGACTACGCGTCTCTGAAGGAGGAGGTGTTCTGGCTCGTAGCCACCATCCCTAGCGTGGCTGCCAACCCTGTGCTTATGGTTTCTAGCATTATGGACTTCATCAGTAAGTAACCATTTGCTTGTTGCGTCTTCATTACCTCCGTAAAAAGGGTTAGTTTATTTTTGCAACTAGGCTTTTAAAACACTTTCATCTGATATGAACTTGAGATTTCGATATACTATTTTTTTTCCCAGAACCACTCGGTTACTAAATTGAGAATTAGGTACATTAGATGCCGATTGAGCTTAGTTCTTTACCCCCTTACTAATAAAAAGTTACACAGTTGTTGAACACTGTTTTAAAATGACATTTCCATACTAAACGTTAGAGTATAAGTTTTATTTGTAAGGGGGTAAGTCTTTTTGTATTCCTGTAGATGTGAACCCACTAGTTATTCGCCACTTTCTACGGGATAAACTTGGCCTTCACTGGTTGGGTTTTTATTGACGGTCAAGCTGCAGATCCTGGCTACACAGGAGTTGCAACTTGGGAATAGTCCCGTTAGCTATGCGCCATAATGCTAAAGTTTCAATTATTTTGTATAGGGAAAGAAGAAGTCGTCCACCTATCTCAAGCTATGCAGCAGCTAATCATCCGTCTGCTGGACAAGCCCGAAGCGCAGGCGGCTTTCATCGAGGCCGGCGGGCTGGAGCTGGCCGTTGAGAAGCTCACCGCCTGCCATCTGGTAAGCTACCGGGTTACTTCAAACTTGACCTTCACTGGCTGGGTTTTTATTAGTTGTCAAGCTGTAGGTCCTGGCTACACAGGAGTTGCAGCGGTGGGAAAGATGGGAGGTGGGAATCGTCCCGTTACCGGGTTACTTCGTTCGTTTATGTCAGCCAAATGACGCACACTGCTGGACAAAGTCATCTCAAGGATTTCCCCCACGGCTTGCATGATTATTACATTACTTCATCCAAGGTCAATTAGGTATGCATTTTAAGGATGCTATTCCCGACCAGCGGTACGAAAGTTGCCATTCTGAAGTGGATTGAAGCTGCAATATTTTTTCAGATACATCTTGTATACTGGCGACTTTGGTTTGGACAAACGTTAGCACGTATACCCAGGCTTCTCCGACGGTAAATGAAACACAGCCACGTGATTATATTTAACGGGAATAAGACTTTATTTGAACTCTGAAGTAATTTTCAATTTCCAATCCATTTCTTTTGCAGTCAGGACCGAGCAACAGCCAGGGGCTGGTGTCCTCGCTGATGAACTACCTGAAGCTGCCGCCGCAGCTCATTAACCTTTCCACGCCCGCTACCAGCAGCAAGAAGAACCAGCCGCCCGTCATTGAGACCACTAACGGGCTCGTCAACATTGCACCGCTGTGTAAGTCAACTATACTTGTGAATATTATTTTATCGATGTTGTGGTTTTTAATGTGGTAATTAACGAGACATAATGATGGTCTATTCATGATATTTTGTTTTATAATCTTGTCTAAGTTATCTTATTTGTTATGGTCACCATATCAACCAAACTTGTCCAAGTAATGATATTATCCTAAGGTTGACCATCTGTCCATATCAGTCTTATTATTTGTGTTTCTTTTGAAATGCAGATTCTAAGTAACCAGATAAGTTCTACAATGTAAGCTCGTTAGGCGTTGGTTACCTAAAATTATTCCAAATCATGTATAGCCTGACCAGGAACATAAAAACCCTGGCATAGAGGCGCGTCAATTGCATTTGATAGTGCAACACTGAGTACAGTCGTACCTGTTTTAAATTAATAGGCTAACTTTATGTATCATGATTCAGGATTACGGGCTAATTTGATATTTTCATAAATTAACGAAAAAATATTATTATAGGTAACTTGGTTTAAATAAATTAAATGAAACCATCAATCGAGCTAGTAGGATTTATTTTATTATTCATCAATAATCAAATTCAGAACTTGAATATTTAACTGCAATGTCTGCTCATGAACGCTTCAAACTCGGTACTTCTTTCCCAATTCCATAAAATTCAACACTTAGAAAGTGACAAAAACTTTAAAATAGGTAGTTGATACAAACCACAGCTAATTTTCATAGTGGACTGTACTATACGATAAACATGTCAGTCAATTTGACAACCTTTGTTGGAAACATTATTCAATGAAAATATTGTCCGAACCCTTGGTATTTCTCTTCGACAAATACTTTAACACATTGTGAACCACTTTTCTTTCACGACTATAAAAAGATTTTAGCAATTTCATTCACAAAATCAATTGCGCACATTTAAAATAAAGTTTGTTTACACTTTGACAGCAATAGACTGACATGAAAGGTGACATGTCAATGAAGTTTTCAGTTACTGTTGCCATTAAAAGAAATTAGTACCATTAGTTTTCCGCAACATGGCGAGGGTTTTTATGTTCCTGGTCAGGCTATAAATAACACGCCCGTAGTTTAAGTTTGTTTAATGAGAAACTATTGATTGCTAGTTGACAATAAAATCTTCATGGTATACCTGTTCAGAGAGAGCAAGTAAAGGTAGAGTAAAAGTGCTTGCTCGCACGCAATCGTCGCAATATCAGTTCAAAAAAAGCATGTCGTCAAACATAGAAGTATAACCACAGAATAATAATAAGTACTACGTACAGAAAATTTACTTCGCGAAGGTATTTAAGAAAATGTATGCTCAATGTCATTAACAATATGGTGTAATTTAGCCTGTCTCAAGAGTCAAGCACCATTTTGTTGACAAGCGTCAGTGATCGGCACTGCGCCGAAGCTATAGGGCTGACTTCGGTAAAATGATGTGACGTGAGGGGCCAAACTGCGGAAAATGGCGAAGGAAATACATGATTTAGCATGAATTATCATGAATAATATTAACCACTTATTTACCTCTCAGTATCTTGAGGCAACTTAAAAAAGTACATTCTGTGTTTTTATTATTATTTAGGCAGTTAAATACTGCACAGTATTTAGTACACCATTTTCTTTATTTTCTTCCGTCATACACAAGAATACGCGTGCGTGAGTCAATGTTCGCTCGTATGTGAGGCCTTGTCGAATAGTATCCTGTAGGTGGGCCATCGTGCGTGTTTTGTTTTCGATGTAAACTCGCGGAGATGAACAGGCCTGGTATAACGTAATGCTTGTTGCAGGTTCGGTGTCGTGCGGCAACCCGACCGCGCAGGCGGCGGACGTGCTGCTCGAAGGCTCGGGCACGAGCAGCGGGCGCGGCACGTGCGCGGCGCGGCGCGTGCGCGCGGCCGCCTGGTCCTACCACTTCTTCAGCGCTGACGACACGTCGCTGGCTCTCACGCTCACGCTGCCCTACGCTGCGGCCTTACACGAGCTGCAGTTGCAGCCGCATCTTACTAGTCTAGCCAGTGAGTATCAGCAACATTACTACTGTACAGTACTTACTACAGCCACTTCTTTAGCGATGATACGTCTCTGGCGCTCACGCTCACGCTGCCCTACGCTGCGGCCTTACACGAGTTGCAGTTGCAGCCGCATCTTACTAGTCTAGCCAGTGAGTCATACCAACATCATTATTATTGTGTCAGTCACTTCTTCAGCGCTGACGACACGTCGCTGGCTCTCACGCTCACGCTGCCCTACGCTGCTGCGTTACACGAGCTACAGTTGCAACCGCATCTTACTAGTCTAGCCAGTGAGTACCTGCGACATTACTACTGTACTGTACATACTACAGCCACTTCTTCAGCGATGATATAATTATGGCGCTCACGCTCAAGCTGCTCTATGTCGCTGCGCTTCATGAGCTGCAGTTTCAGTCGCACCTTACCAGTCTAGCCAGTGAGTCATACCAACATCATTATTATTGTGTCAGTCACTTCTTCAGCGCTGACGACACGTCGCTGGCGCTCACGCTCACGCTGCCCTACGCTGCGGCGCTGCACGAGCTGCAGTTGCAGCCGCATCTTACTAGTCTAGCCAGTGAGTCACAGCAACATTACTACTGTATCAGCCACTCCTTCAGCGCTGATGACACGTCGCTCGCGGTCACGCTGCCTTACGCTGCTGCGTTACACGAGCTGCAGTTGCAGCCGCATCTTACTAGTCTAGCCAGTGAGTCATACCAACATCATTATTATTGTGTCAGTCACTTCTTCAGCGCTGACGACACGTCGCTCGCGCTCACGCTCACGCTGCCCTATGCTGCGGCCTTACACGAGCTACAGTTGCAGCCGCATCTTACTAGTCTAGCCAGTGAGTCACAGCTTTATTACTACTGTATACTCCTTCAGCGCTGATGATACGTCTCTGGTGCTCACGCTCACCCGCATCTTACTAGTCTAGCCAGTAAGTATCAGTGACATTACTACTGTATCAGCCACTCCTTCAGCGCTGATGATACGTCGCTCGCGCTCACGCTCACGCTGCCCTACGCTGCTGCGTTACACGAGCTGCAGCTGCAGTCGCACCTCACTAGTCTTGCCAGTGAGTCACAGCAGTAATTTAATTTATTTCCAAACTCACGACATTGGAGTTCTCTCCGCAAACTTGGAGCTTGGCGCTCCGGCGCGACGCAATGGGACGCGGCCGCGGGCGCCGGCGCTATCCACGCGCTGTGTGGTCGCGTTAAGACCCGTGTTTCTTTATTTTAATTGACTGCGTTGTCAAACTTGGAGGGCGATTATCTACCGTGGATGCAACCCGCCGAGGCTGCGGCTGACCGCGACTCGCACGGTTCTATAAGTTGCCTGCCGGTGCAACAGTCGTCGCGAATAACTGTGCCCGCCGCGGATGTCAACCACGTCGCGAAGTATGTCATTCAGTTTTTATCTGTATTTTAGAGGAGCTACAAATTCGTAACCGCGGCGAGCGCGAGCGAAAATCGCTCCTTGAGTTCATAGCCTAAAGTAGCAGAAGCTAAATTTTCTCTTTTTGTGCGCAGCGTGCCCAGGCGCCGTGGGCATCGAGGCCGGCTGCGGCGACACGGTGGCGCCGCTGGGCCCGCCGCAGTGCACGGCCGGCATGACGTTCATCCGCCTGGCGCTGGCGCGGCCCGTGGTGTGCTCCACCGTCCAGCTGCGGCTCTACCGCCCGCGCGACTCGTCCAACATGGGCCTGCTGCAGCTGCGGCTGCTCGTGGCGCCCGCCTTCAGCCCGCACGCGCCGCCCGCGCCGCCGCCCGCGCCGTGAGTACCGCGTGACGTCACCGGCGGCCGCGTGTGCCCGCCGTGCTGCGACTCGAGACAAGCTTTTTACTACTGAACTACGGAGGCGTGAAAGCTGACAATGCTAATACGGTCACTGTTGGAACATCGTCGGACTTCAGCCAGGAACATGCAGAAAAGCTTTGATATTACTCATAACTTCTTAACGAACATTGATCGCGTTATATAAGATTTTAAACTTTCGCGTTCCATTTCAATTAAAAAAGAGAACCACGAGTGTACATTAATTATGTAATTCATCTCGTTAAGACCCGTGCTTCTCTATTTTAACTGACTGCGTTGTCCCGATGCAGTCCTAATTCTAACTAACAAAAACGCCCCGTTGTCCCACTAACAACTTTGTCGAACGAGCAGCGCCACCGTATTGATAGTACCGGTTCCCGCAGGAACAACTGGGCGTGCGTGATATCCGCGTGCACGCGCGCGCGTTCCGGCGCGACGCGCTGGGGCGCGGCCGCGGGCGCCGGCGCGATCAACGCACTGTGTGGTGGCGTTAAGACCCGTGTTTATTTATTTAATTAGGACAACCAACTAGACAGACACAAATTCAAGCAAAGGGGTTTACATACATAATTTTGTTTCTCTATTTCAATTGACTGCGTTGTCCCAATGCAGTCGTAATTTGATTCTAACTAACAAAAACGCCCCCTTTTCCCACTAACCACTTTGTCGAAGGAGCAGCGCCACCGTATTGATAGTACCGGTTCCCGCAGGAACAACTGGGCGTGCGTGATATCCGCGTGCACGCGCGCGCGCTCCGGCGCGATCAACGCGCTTTGTGGTCGCGTTAAGACCCGTGTTTCTCTATGTTAACTGACTGTGTTGTTCAAATGCAGTCCTAATTCTAACTAACAAAAACGCCCCGTTGTCCCACTAACAACTATGTCGAACGAGCAGCGCCACCGTATTGATAGTACCGGTTCCCGCAGGAACAACTGGGCGTGCGTGATATCCGCGTGCACGCGCGCGCGATCCGGCGCGACGCGCTGGGGCGCGGCCGCGGGCGCCGGCGCGATCAATGCGCTGTGGTCGCGTTAAGACCCGTGTTTCTCTATTTTAATTGACTGCGTTGTTCCAATGCAGTCCTAATTCTAACTAACAAAAACGCCCCCTTGTCCCACTAACAACTAGTGTTGCCGAACTATCGATAGTAAAACTATCGATAGTTTTCATTCGAAAAAGCCTTCTCCATCGATAGGCCTATCGATAGTATCGATACTGTCGATACTATCGATACTATCGATAGCTCAAAACGAGGCAATACTATTGAATATGTGCAATACTATCGATACTATCGATAGTATTGTTGCTCGTGAAGAATAAACTATCGATAGTATCGATACTATCGATAGTATTGTCGCTTTTGAATAAAAAGCTATCAATACTATCGATAGTATCGATACTATCGATTGTTCTAGACTATCGATAGTCTGTAAATTTGCAATAGTATTGGGTATGTTTAAATTCATTTTTATAATATTTCAAATGTTTTTCTTGACTTACCAACTAAACATATAACTAACAATAATAATCTCACTTGTATTTAAAACTACCTGCATTAGTTAAGTACGACAAATAAAATGTATTGCCAATTTTGGAAAAATATAATTAAATGTTATGGTTAACTATATGAAATAATTCAAGTATTCCAATAACCCTATTGTTGTGCCTATTGACTATTATACCCAAATATTGTAAACGATACTATTGTAAATTGCCAAACTATCGATAGTCTAGAACAATCGATAGTATCGATACTATCGATAGTATTGATAGCTTTTTATTCAAAAGCGACAATACTATCGATAGTATCGATACTATCGAGAGTTTATTCTTCACGAGCAATAATACTATCGATAGTATCGATAGTATTGCACATATTCAATAGTATTGCCTCGTTTTGAGCTATCGATAGTATCGATACTATCGACAGTATCGATACTATCGATAGGCCAATCGATAGTCTTGCGATAGTTTGACTATCGATAGACTATCGATAGACTATCGATAGTCGACTATCGATCGGCAACACTACTAACAACTATGTCGGACTAGCAGCGTCACCGTATTGATAGTACCGTGTCCCGCAGGAACAACTGGGCGTGCGTGATATCCGCGTGCACGCGCGCGCGCTTCGGCGCCATTAATGCGCTCTGTGGTCGCGTTAAGACCCATGTTTCTCTATTTTAATTGACTGCGTTGTCCCAAAGCAGTCCTAATTCTAACTAACAAAAACGCCCCGATGTCCGACTAACAACTATGTCGAACGAGCAGCGCCACCGTATTAATAGTACCGGTTCCCGCAGGAACAACTGGGCGTGCGTGATATCCGCGTGCACGCGGGCGCCGGCGCGATCAACGCGCTTTGTGGTCGCGTTAAGACCCGTGTTTCTCTATTTTAACTGACTGCGTTGTACAAATGCAGTCCCAATTCTGACTAACAAAAACGCCCCGTTGTCCCACTAACAACTTTGTCGAACGAGCAGCGCCACCGTATTAATAGTACCGGTTCCCGCAGGAACAACTGGGCGTGCGTGATATCCGCGTGCACGCATTAACGCGCTATGTGGTTGCGTTAATACCCGTGTTTCTCTATTTTAAATGGCTGCGTTGTTCCAATGCAGTTCTAATTCTAACTAACAAAAACGCCCCCTTGTCCCACTAACAACTTTGTCGAACGAGCAGCGCCACCGTATTGATAGTACCTTACTCTACAGTGGCGCCATCTTGATGAGTGCAAATGCGATAGTCCTCCACTTTAGCGCTCACCAGTTGGTGCCACTGTCTTCGCTACTAGCAAGTGACAGGACCTTACTCTACAGTGGCGCTAACTGGTGAGCGCTAAAACGATAGCTTTCATTGACTGCGTTGTCCCAAATCAGTCCTAATTCTAACAAAACGCCCCGATGTCCGACTAACAACTTTGTCGAACGAGCAGCGCCACCGTATTGATAGTACCGGTTCCCGCAGGAACAACTGGGCGTGCGTGATATCCGCGTGCACGCGCGCGCGTTCCGGCGCCATTAATGCGCTGTGTGGTCGCGTTAAGACCCGTCTTTCTCTATTTTAATTGACTGCATTGTCCCAATGCAGTCGTAATACTAACTAACAAAAACGCCCCGTTGTCCCACTAACAACTTTGTCGAACGAGCAGCGCCACCGTATTGATAGTACCGGTTCCCGCAGGAACAACTGGGCGTGCGTGATATCCGCGTGCACGCGCGCGCGTTCCGGCGCCATTAATGCGCTGTGTGGTCGCGTTAAGACCCGTCTTTCTCTATTTTAATTGACTGCATTGTCCCAATGCAGTCGTAATACTAACTAACAAAAACGCCCCGTTGTCCCACTAACAACTTTGTCGAACGAGCAGCGCCACCGTATTGATAGTACCGGTTCCCGCAGGAACAACTGGGCGTGCGTGATATCCGCGTGCACGCGGGCGCGCTCCAGCGCGATCTACGCGCTGTGTGGTCGCGTTAAGTGCTTGTTCACGTTGACTCGCGGGCGCGGTGGCGGGCGCGGTGACGAAATATCAAACATATGTAGTGATTCCAAGTGTTCACGCACGAAACGCAGGTGCGGTCTAACTAGCGGGCAAGCTAGCGACTGGTGCGCGCGGAGCGCTCGCGCTAATTTCAACGCGTGAAGATGTTTGTGTGTGTTCATGTCAAACTAGCGGCGGCGCGCGCGTTTCACTCGCGACGTCAGGTAAGTTCAACCAGTTTGAACTTGTCGCTAGAAACGATAGTACGTCACACTCGCGCGAACGCCTGGTGGTTAATGTGAACACGAGCTCGCAACGTTTCCCGCACCCGCGCCCGCGCGTACCTACGTGAACAAGCACTAAGACCCGTGTTTCTCTGCGTTGTTCCAATGCAGTTCTAATTCTTAACTAACAAAAACGCCCCCTTGTCCCACTAACAACTTTGTCGAACGAGCAGCGCCACCGTATTGATAGTACCGGTTCCCGCAGGAACAACTGGGCGTGCGTGATATCCGCGTGCACGCGCGCGCGCTCCGGGGCCACGCGCTTTGTGGTCGCGTTAAGACCTTTGTTTCTCTATTTTAATTGACTGCATTGTCCCAAAGCAGTCCTAATTCTAACTAACAAAAACGCCACGCTTTCCCACTAACCACTATGTCGAACGAGCAGCGCCACCGTATTGATAGTACCGGTTCCCGCAGGAACAACTGGGCGTGCGTGATATCCGCGTGCACGCGCGCGCGATCCGGGGCCACGCGCTGGGGCGCCGGCGCGATCAACGCGCTGTGCGGTCGCGTTAAGACCCGTGTTTCTCTATTTTGATTAACTGCGTTGTTTCAATGCAGTTTTCATTCTAACTAACAAAAACGCCACATTGTCCCACTAACAACTTTGTCGAACGAGCAGCGCCATCGTATTAATAGTACCGGTTCCCGCAGGAACAACTGGGCGTGCGTGATATCCGCGTGCACGCGCGCGCGATCCGGCGCGACGCGCTGGGGCGCGGCCGCGGGCGCCGGCGCGATCAACGCGCTGTGCGCGTGTGTGTTAGGAGGAGGACCGCCGGCGCACCACGCGCACCACGCACTGTTAGCCGCTGCCGTGCACGCGCCGTCGCCTGCGCATCGCGCGAGAGTGCTGACGGCTCTGTTGCAGACCGATTCTGCTGCTAGAGCTCACGGTAAGTCTACTTGTAGATACTTGTGTTGTTGTGGAATTTGTACGTCTAATCTCAACAACTTTGTAAACCTTGTAACGTTCTGTGTTTTCGCATCATTATTTACTCTGTAGGTAGGCGATTGGTGAAACCGTTTTATGAATGTTGTAATTCGAAATAAAGTTACGATTCATCTAGCCGAGCAGTGTATTTCAAACCGTCTCTGTGTAGTATAGTGCCTTTTGAACATCGTCATCTCGCCAACGCCTGCGCAGGGACGCCGTGACGCCAACTCCTGTTACTTGTCCGAAAACAGACGTTGTATTAGCGTCGCATGGATGCGTCACCAGCATTACTTGTCGACGCTGCACGGGCGCTGGCAAGAAGACTGCGCTCAAAAGACGCTAGTGTTTTCCCGTACATAGTTTAGTATCAGTTGTAGCTTTAAAGCAGTCTACATTGACTGCTCCAGTCTGCCCGTATATAACAGCTTGAAATGTTTTTCTAATTTGACCATATCGTTCTGTTCCAGAGTTCCAAGTGTCCCCCAACATGCGCGGCTGCGGCGGCGCCATGAACGGCGTGTGCGAGCTAGTGCGGCAATTATGCGCGCGCTGCCCCGCCGGCGCCGCCCACGCCTACCTGCAGTGGCTGGCCGGCGCCGCCGAGCGCTGGCTGCGCGACCGCACGCCGCCCTCCGCCGCGCTCACGCACACGCTGGCCACGGTGAGCACACATGCACAGGGAGCACACATGTACAGGGAGCACACGACGCCTCGCAGCACGCTACCTGCAGTGGCTGGCCGGCGCCGCCGAGCGCTGGCTGCGCGACCGCACGCCGCCCTCCGCCGCGCTCACGCACACGCTGGCCACGGTGAGCACACATGCACAGGGAGCACACATGTACAGGGAGCACACGACGCCTCGCAGCACGCTACCTGCAGTGGCTGGCCGGCGCCGCCGAGCGCTGGCTACGCGGCGTGGCCACGGTGAGAACAATACCGAACATGATATAGGCAGAGAGAGCTCATGATGCGTTCCGTGTCGCTGAGTCGTCTTAACGCTCCTGCACACGATGCCGCTGCCGCGCTGTCGCCGTGCCTACGCCGCACTTTTATACTGTGGATCGTTCGTTCGTGTCAGCCAAATGACGTCCACTGCTGGACAAAGGCCTCCCCCAAGGTTTTCCACAATGAACATCCTGCGCTGCCCGCATCCAGGTTCTTCCCGCGACCTTTACCAGATCGTCGGTCCACCTAGTAGGAAGCCTGCCCACGCTACGTCTTCCAGCCCGTGGTCGCCACTCGAGAACTTTCATGCCCCAATGGCCATTGTCTCTACACGAGCTATGTGCCCCGCCCACTGCCACTAGATTTTTTTTTTTACTTTGGATACGCGCCGCGTAAAGCCTGCTGCCGCGCCGCCACTGCGCTGCTGCCGCCCCGCCACCACCCTGTATACTAACATCAGTATAGTGGACGGGTAAAATTATGCTTTGACGGCGCGGGAGCGACGCGGTGGCGGCGTCGTGTGCAGGAGCGCTTACATAGAAATATCTGTAGCGGGCGGTACGCTAACACGAAATCTGCGGCAGCATCGTGTACTTTGGCTCAGAGGCCATACAATGCGTTGCGGCTCCGTCGCGGCGTCGCCGACGTAGCACCGCTTAGTTGTTTATGCGACACAGGGAAAGGCGCCCTCTTGTTGATTTTGTATAATTACGTACACATACCTATTATATAAAAATTGAACTTACTGACGAGGAAAGTTCATGTCAATCATGGACTACCGCATAAAGTCGCCTTTTTTCCGACATTATTTAATATGTTTTCTTTTGTAGGTGTTATGGACGTTAAAAGAAGAAAGATCTCTAGAAGACTTGGAACAGCTCATCACAGATGACTTGTTCGAGTTAGTGTACACGTGGGTCAAGGATGTTCCCGAATCTAGTCTACTAAAGAAATCCCTTGATTCCAGTAAGTAACATTACATCTTTTTCATAAGTTGATCGATAACAATTATAAATTAAAATTGAACTTATATTTATCATTTTTTCGTTTCAGTATTGTGCTCAATGTGCTACATTCGCCCGGAATTATTCAAGATGCTTTTGGAACAAATGGATATTCCTATGGATCAAGAAGAAAGGTATGTTTCATATTTTGACTAATTTCTTTATCTAAATATATAAAAGGAGAAACTGACTGACAGATCAACGCACAGCCTAAACGGCTAAACGTAGGCACTTGAAATTTGGAAGGGACGTAGCTTAGGTACCGTAGAGGTGCACTAAGAAAGGAATTCCCGAAATTCCCACGGGAACGGGAATTAGCGGGAAAAACAGGATTCACGCGTACGAAGTCGCGGGCGGCCGCTAGTCAAATATAATTTAGATTGAAAATGTCTACTCAGTGTCAACAAAATGGTGTAATTTAGCTTGTCTCAGAGCCGAGCACCGTTTCGTTTACATACGTCAGTGATCGATACTGTGCCAATGGGATTGGACTGATAACAGACAACAAGAAGCTACTGTGCGCTTTCCATGCGCCTCGCATGTTCGTTCGTATCAGCCGAAAGACGTCCACTGCTGGACAAAGGCCTCCCTCAAGGATTTCCACAAAGACCGGTCCTGCGCCGCTTGCATCCAGGTACTTCCCGCGACCTTCACCAGATCGTCGGTCCACCTAGTGGGAGGCCTGCCCACGCTACGTCTTCCAGCTCGTGGTCGCCACTCAAGAACTTTCCTGCCCCAGCGGCCATCAGCTCTTCGAGCTATGTGCCCCGCCCACATGTATTGCTATATGCTGTATTGTACAGCCTCGCATGTATTGTTTTGGATATAAATAAATAAATATTTACTCGGAGAAATGAACAGGTCTATAGAGCGACTTCAGGCTCTCTAGCGCGCGCTACGTAAGCGTTCTATTTGACGCCTCAAGAAGAATTTTGACTAACAAATGAATATTTTTGCAGCATGGAAGGCCTAACCGACGACACAAAGGTGCACGCCATGCCAACCGGCCGACCGGAGCCGGCGGAGTGCGACAGCAGCGTGGCTTGGAAGCTGCGCGGCTGGCAGCTGCAGACCGTGGCCGCCGCCGCCATGTCGCCCGCCGCCACGCCCGCACTGTTGCATTCGCGGCTGCCCGCTTGCGCCGTGCGTGCCATCACAGGTGGGGGTCTTAGAGACCAGTACCTCTAGTACGAAAAACTTTCGAGTTCGTTTCGTTGCGTATTCAAAGTGTCATCGAAAAATTTTGTATGAAAAATTAAACAGCGCCCCCTATATTATAGCCGCCCTAGGGGGCGCTGTTTAATTTTTCATACAAAATTTTTCGATGACACTTTGAATACGCAACGAAACGAACTCGAAAGTTTTTCGTACTAGAGGTACAGGAGTTGCAGCAGTGTTTTGTCTTGGACTGTACTGTTTGCGTTTGCCTATAGAGATATAGAGATATGCCAATGAGGGTTTTCGCGATTGAAAAATCCGCCAGATGACAATACGTAGACGCGAGGTCCAAATGCTGCATGATTGGTGGATTTTGACATATCTGTCATTGTCATGTCAAAAATAACCAATCATGCAGCATTTGGACCTCACGTCTACGTATTGCCATCTGGCGGATTTTTCAATCGCAAAAACCCTCATTAATGCGCTGAGTTCGAAACTCAGTGTCGCATTAGAAATTCACACACACAGAGTAATCAAAATATGTACTCATTATCCACCGCGGTATCAGTACTCAACGTTTACATTATGACGTCACTACTGTCATCATTGCTTTCACGAGCAATGTGTTCTGTTCTTGGGCATATTGCTGCCGGCCCCGCCCCCTTGTCACATTGCCTTTTAGTTTCTGTGATCTGTGCGTTTGCCGCTCGCCCTTTCCGAATTGGAGTTCGGTGAACGTTCCAAGTAGAAGTTCCAGCTGTGTTTTGTCTTGGGTAGCCCGTCTGCGTATGTTGCTGGGACCTCCGAGCTGAGAGGTCGGGGTGACCTATCTAAACAGATATTCCACCTGTTTTGTCGGAACTGTAATACTTAAACGGCAGTACACCGCGATGTGGCTAGACGAGGCATCCAGAACGGTCCCAGCAGTGCTAGCACACTTGAGAGCAATGTATCAAAATGTTTAGGATTTGTGAAACTGATGGTTTGATGTGTTTGCTGTTAATGATTATTCCGTTCATGATAATCGCTAGCTACCGTTGTTATCACACTCCTGTGTCACTCTTGATTGATTCTGGTTTTACAAATATTTAATAAAATCATTTTTTTTTGCAGAATTCAGCGAAGCAAAGCTAGAACTTATCAAAGAGCAAATGTCCTCACAAGACGACGTAACCATGCTTGAATGTGAGAAGGAATTGCCTCAACCCAATACTGGTAAGTTACTTTTTAAACACACGCTATGAGGGGATCATATTTGCGCTCACCAATGAGGGTTTTCGCGATTGAAAAATCCGCGAGATGGCAATGGATTTTGACATATCTGTCAATGTCATGTCAAAAATAACCAATCATGCAGCATTTGGACCTCGCGTCTACGTATTGCCATCTGGCGGATTTTTCAATCACGAAAACCCTCATTGACGCCGTGGCAATGGCAACCTTTAATAAGGCAACATTTAGATAAAGATGAAAAACGTTGTAAAATTGTTTTAGATCATGGTTTTCCTATTTTAAATAAATAAGTATTTATCAGCATTTGTACATCTTTTTAGAACTACCGTCAATGAAAAACGTATGCCAACTGGTGGAGTTTGCGCGGTCGCTGTGCGCCGAGCGGCGGCTGAAGGAGTGGCTCGGCACCACCGGCGCCTGCTTCTGGCAGCCGCTGCTCACGCTGCTGTGCTTCCCGCGACCGCCGGAGACGTGAGTAGTATAATATGCTAGGTATACTCGTGATGGTTTAAAAATTTGGCCTAAATTACTACGTATGTAGGTTTTCTGTGTATTGCCAGTCACAATTCTTACGGGCGTTTTTATGTATAATTTAAAATATTTTTTGTTTAAAAAACAATATTTGAAATATGTATGACACTGGCAAAAAGCGTTTATAAAATATTGTTTATCGTTTTAAGTACTTTATTACTTGAAGTGCAAATGTATACGACAGTCCTATTTTCGTGAACCTAGCTTCCGTAATAACTTTAAATAGCGAATTGGTATTTTATTACAGTTCCATGCATTGTGTAGGTAGACGTTGTGTATGTTATCTGTAAAAATAAAAATCTGAGTGCAAAAATTGACGATGACTTATTATACCATGCCTCACGATCGTGTCATGTCGGTTGTAACTCGTATCTCACGCTCGTGCGTCCCCGGCAGCACGTGGCAAGAAGGCGCGCAGTACGCGGCGCTGGAGGAGGCCACGATCCGGCTGTTCGCCGAGCTCAACGTGTGCCACGCCGCCAACCAGAAGCTCTTCGCGCACACGCTGCACCGGATACTCGAGTCCATGCACTGCACTGGTATGTATGATGAGTTTTGGTACCTATTCATACTGTTACTCAGGAGGAAGAGGAGTCAAATCGTACGAGTTTTTTGACCATTTAGCATATGAGCGAGTCACTGCATACTAATACTCGTGCATTGATGTCGATGTGTGTTTATATGGGTCATAATAATTTTCGTCACAACTCTAGTGTCAGACTACCATTACATGATTAAATTAGAACGTGGCATGGAATCTTTTTTCTGACTTTACGCATATAATGTAACACATCTGTGAATTAATCGAAAACTATTTTGTTATGTGTAGGTACCTAATGACCATAAACGGAGTTCTACTCCAAACTACAAATCAGAGTAACAAGATGTCAACTAACTGTACCCTCTTTTAGCTATATTGCTTCCTAATGATTTAAATGAGTTGCAGTTGAGTCATGGATTTGTGTGTCAGCTACTTTACAAAATGTCATCACATTTATATTTTAGGTCCAGAGGGCATCTCCGGGTTCACCCGATCTCTGATCCTTCGCCTGGTGCTATCCGGGTCCCGCATGCGCGTGGCGCTACGCTGGGGCGGCGCCTGGTGCGCGTGCGGCGCCTGCGGGTCCCCGCCGCACGCGCCGCCCGCGCCGCCCTCCGCCCCGCCCCGCCACCCCTCGCACCCGGCGGCGGCGCATCATGCCGTGCTGACGCTGCCGCTTCACACTACAGTGAGGGCGCTGCTGGCCGAACACAGACCTCCATGTAAGTTATTACTCTGTGACAATAAGTGCGCGTGCGACGCCGCGCCGTCCGCGCCTCCGCCTGTGTTGCCGCGATATCCCTCGCACCCGGCGGCGGCGCATCATGCTGTGCTGACGCTGCCGCTGCATACTACTGTCAGGGCGCTTCTGGCAGAACACAGACCGCCACGTGAGTGTGAATAAATAGTAATTACTCTGTGGCAATAAGTGCGCGTGCGACGCCGCGCCGCCCGCGCCGCCACCCCTCGCAACCGGCGGCGGCGCATCACGCTGTGCTGACGCTGCCGCTACATACTACTGTGAGGGCGCTGCTGGCTGAACATAGGCCTCCATGTGAGTGTCAACAAATCTATAGATAAATGTAATAATAAATGCGCGTGCGACGCCGCGCTGCCTGCGCCATCTTCCGCCCCGCCCCGCCACCCCTCACACCCGGCGGCTGCGCATCACGCTGTGTTGACGCTGCCGCTGAATACTACCGTGAGGGCGCTGCTGGCCGAACATAGGCCTCCATGTAAGTTATTACTCTGTGACAATAAGTGCGCGTGTGGCGCCTGCGGCTCCCTGTCATACACGCCACTCGGACTCATGACCATATACCGCTCGCCCGGCGCCTGCCCACCACGCTGTGCTGACGCTGCCGCTGCACACCACTGTGCGGGCGCTGCTGGCCGAACACAGACCTCCATGTGAGTGTGAATAGATTGTTATTACTCTGTGACAATAAATGCGCGTGCGGCGCCTGCGGGTCCCCGCCGCACGCGCGGCCCTCCGCGCCTCCCCGCCACCCCTCGCACCCGGCGGCGGCGCATCACGCTGTGCTGACGCTGCCCCTGCACACCAATGTGAGGGCGCTGCTGGCCGAACATAGGCCTCCACGTGAGTGTGAACAAATCTATAGATAAATGTAATAATAAATGCGCGTGCGGCGCCCCGATATCCCCGCCGCGCCACCCCTCGCACCCGGCGGCCGCGCATCACGCTGACGCTGCCGCTGCACACCACTGTGCGGGCGCTGCTGGCCGAACATAGACCTCCATGTGAGTGAATAGATTGTAATTACTCTGTGACAATAAATGCGCGTACCACGCCGTGTCGCCTAGACACTCCTCGCACCCGGCGGCGGCGCATCACGCTGTGCTGACGCTGCCGCTGCATACTACTGTGAGGGCGCTGCTGGCCGAACATAGACCTCCATGTGAGTGAATAGATTGTAATTACTCTGTGACAATAAATGCGCGTACCACGCCGTGTCGCCTAGACACTCCTCGCACCCGGCGGCTGCGCATCATGCTGTGCTGACGCTGCCGCTGCATACTACAGTGAGGGCGCTGCTGGCTGAACATAGGCCTCCACGTGAGTGTGAATAGATAGTAATTACTCTGTAACAATAAGTGCGCGTGCGACGTCGCGACATCTGTGCCTCCACCAGTGTCGCCAGGATATCCCTCGCACCCGGCGGCCGTCCACCATTCTATGTTGACGCTACCGCTTCATACTACTGTGAGGGCACTGCTGGCTGATCATAGGCCTCCACGTGAGTGTGAATAGATAGTAATTCCTCATCAATGAGGGCTAGCGAGTGCGCTCATACTAATTAAAGCCTCTTCCCCAAATAGTCCATTACGCAAGAGAGCGTCTTACACTGTTTGCCGAGACAAGGTTTCCATTCAACATGCAATTTTGGTCCCGTCATTTTAAAATTCAATTAACTGGATACGGTTAAGACGCATCGCAGGGTTGTTTCCTCTCTCCACTTTAGTAGTTACCCTCAATTTCAAATGACATGACCATAATTTGTTTGTGTAATCCTTACCGTGTTTTTTGCAGTGCCAATAATAGACGACACGGCAAAGATGTGCGTGAGCACCGCTCCAGGCGGCGCCAACTCGGTGCTTCGCAGCGCTTCGGATACGGCCATTATGACCGTGGCGGAGGCCTGGGAGCTTAGCCTGGCCGCCGCTAGCGCGTCCAAAGACAAACGCGTCAAAGACGTCAAGAACACGTCTCTGAAGCACCAGAACAGCAAGAAGAGGCAGCTGAAGGCGACCAATGAGCCTTCCGTGCTGTGCGTGAGTGATGGTAAGTACCCCAGAACTTTATTTATTTATTTATTACGTATGCCAACATTGTTGTAACATAACAACATGTACACTTAAAAATAACAAATATCGATAAAGTTACAATCTTACAATGTAACAACAATTATTGTAGGCTTAATAATAACTTGTAGAATGAGATCAATAAATAGTTAGTTTATTTCATATGCTGAATATCAGTGCATTGGCATAGATTGCTTTATTGCCCAATAAAATAGTACAAAAGGTGGACTTAATGCTATTTGAGCATTCTCAGCCAGTCGACCCTTGGGTTATGCAGAAAGCTGAGTGCGAAGGTAGAGGTAGAAGGGTAGAAGTTAAAATTGAAGTTAAATTTTTAATTGATATAATACTTATTTAAGATAATAATCATAACAAAGTCATAAAGTCACGTGTACTTTAAGGATAAATAACAATAAAATTCTGGAGCTACAAATGAATCACTTATTTTCTAAAGAACACAAGTCCAAATAGAAAAATTACGATAAGTAGTTTTTTTTATGAACAATAAAAACTTTTTAATAAATTTTTAAATTTCTTACAATTAACAACTTGAATAAACTTTACGAGGAGGCACGAGTACCTAACCTAACGTCTGTTAGGTAAGGTAACTGTCTAGTTAACAAATTTTTCGGTCTTTAAATCAGTCAGATTAAACATACATAATAAATATAGCATACTCGTTGGTGAACATTACTTAGTTTCGATTGAGATCATTACTTGCAAATCAAATCGGTTAAAAAAGGAAAGACTAGGCCAGTCTAAAAGCAACGTTGACCTATTAAATAATTAAAAACTTACTTTGGTCTAAGAAAATAGGCTTTCAAGAATATTAAAGCTTCAAAATCGAAACTCGAGAATTCTCGAGCTCCGGTAATTTTTTTCTCGTCTCGAATGAAGCCAAATTTCTCGAGTTTTCTCGAGTTCGAGAAAGTTCGAGCAGAAACCCTACTGCTGAGTCACGGATATTTTTGGTGTGCCTTGTTTTGTGCATACTTGTACCATTGGAAATATTTTGTGTGCCAAACAATTCTATTTGCGATTGAAGATAACCGTGACACATTACTTATTGCATTTTTCCAATATAGCATCTGTAGCTGTGCCTTATATAAATAAATAAATAAATAAATATTCAGATTTTACGTGACATGGAAGACGTATTTATTTATTTGGGAAAACCAGGATTCTACAGTGTATAATAATTATCGATCCCTTATCCCACAGAACTCATCGAGTCCACAATCCGGGTGCAAGTGCCGGGTCTGGAGGGCTTCATCCCTCCCAGCACCACGCTCGCACAACTGGCTATGGCCGCGCCGCAGGCGTTCGGCCCGCACCTCACGCTCACGCTGCATCTCAACACCAATGGCGGTATGTAAAACGTTGATCTATGGTTTATTTAAATGTTGTATTTTGAGATGAATCATCAGAATAATTCTCTACTGGCCCAATCCTCGGCATCCATTTTTAGCTCGGTATCCCAAAAATGAAAAGGAGAAATGTTATAAGTTTGACCGCCGCGCTATGTGTATTGATATGCTACCTGTGATACCGTTGCTCTTGGCTACACAAAAAAGATAACTGACACTTTTTGTTACTGACACGGTACACCATCACGGGAATCCTGGGTCGCTGTATGGTGTCAAGTGGAAGTAATTGGATACAAAAGTGTCTAACATAGGCTTTAAATGGGTGAACCTATGTTTATGCGTTTTTTTTTTTGCTAAAGAAACGGCAAGACGATGGATACTTCATGTGTGATATCTTAAATATTTCGTACTTTCGCTAGACGTCTGGTCGGGTCCTACGTGGGAGCCGCCGGCGAACACGAACGCGGGTGCCTCGCGCTGCGGCGGCGTGGTGCTGCGAACATTCGCGGCGTGCGGCGGGCTCGCCCTCGTGGCCGCTCGCCTGCCGCGCCCGCACGCGCCGCCGCACCCGCCGCCTGCGCAGCACCATCACCACCACGACCTGGACTGGGTCAAGCTGGACGATCCTTATGAGGTCAGTCCTAGTGTGCTTACGGGCCTTTTTTTTTCGTCAGAAAAATACATTGATTTGTATACCCACCAGCCGCGGGGGCAGCTAGTGGGTTATGTGGGGTTCTCCCTCTCCAGAAGAGCAGGGCCTACCCACTAAAACCTGACGTTGCCCTCGGTAGCCATATGAGTCGGGAACGCGGGCCATCACTATCGGCGTTTTGCCTCAAGCATTCGTCCGCGTTCCCTGTGCTTACAGAACTATTCTCACCGCTGCAAGTCCTGTGTGGCCAGGATAGTGTGTTTGCTATCATAGGTATAGGTCAGGCTGCATAGTCCTACGAACATTCGCAGTGGCCGCCGCACCCGCCGCCTGCGCAGCACCATCATCACCATGACCTGGACGATCCTTATGAGGTCAGTCCTTAGTGTGCTTGTAATGGCAGGGTACTCACCTGCCATGTAGCGCGTAACGTAGCATGTAACGTAACCAACCTTCGAGTGAGTAAGGCTCGTCCACGGTCATCGCGTACCTGGCTGCGAGCTCCTGAATCCTACTACGAGCCGCCTTTGTGCTCGCAGTGATACCGCCAGTCGGCGGGTCGCTGCGATCTCCCTGCGAACCACGCGCGGGCTCGTGCCTATGTAATCACTTGATACAGTATCTGATACATTACACACTACACGGCTAGATGAAAATCCTGCATATTATCACTTGTTACGAACGTCCGCGGCGCGTAGCAGACTCGCTTTAAGGGCCGCTCGCCTGCCGCGCCCGCACGCGCCGCCGCACCCGCCGCCTGCGCAGCACCATCATCACCACGACCTTGATTGGGTCAAGCTGGACGATCCTTATGAGGTCAGTCCTCATCTTATTCACGATTAAAGTCTGGTCCCCGAGTAGATAGAATTTCGTCCATTGACTTCAAGCTACCCATCCTTATTGCTCACGCGGCCGCAGTGAGTGTGCGAGCGCGAGAGCAATATAATTACGCGCAAGCGATAAAGATGGGAAGTTTGGAGTCAATTGGTAGTAGAACTGCCTTATGTTTGTTGCTGTGGTTCAAGCCAGTATCTCGCTATCACCAAAGCACTTTTCCCCCTTCTAATGGAAACTCATTATCGATTATATTCTCGCTCAAGACAAAGGTGGGAAAATTGCCTGGGTGAAGCACGCTCCAATCGCGCGCGGCTGGTCCACGATTCATGCACCTGGTGCCTCGCGCGGTCGGAGCGCTATAGATACCTCCGCTGGGGATCCGGCTATTTAAACGTCGCACACCACATTTAACTTTCCAAATATAGAACATACTTTTAATCGCGCTTTATCCGTGTACAAACAGGAGGTGGTAGAACTAGGCGTGATCTCAGGAAGTAGTGCAGCGACAGAGGAAGGCGGCGGGGTGCCGGCGCACGCGCTGGGAGCCCTAGGGCTCCTGCTGAAGCTGCCGCGCTACGCCGCCGCGCTACTGGACGAGGGCGCGCGCGCCGCGCACCTGCTGCGCCTGCTGCTCGGCGTGGCGCACGACGAGGACGGCCGTGAGTACCGCTGCGGCAGTGGAGGGCTAAAGTCCGGTCTGTGAGCACGTAGAATTTTGTCCAATGACCCCAAGCTACCCATTCTTATCACTCGCGCGTAATGAGGGTTTTCGTGATTGAAAAATCCGCCAGATGGAGATACGTAGACGGGAGGTCCAAATGCTGCATGATTGGTGGATTTTGACATATCTGTCAATGTCATGTCAAAAATAACCAATCATGCAGCATTTGGACCTCCCGTCTACGTATTGCCATCTGGCGGATTTTTCAATCACGAAAACCCTCATTATATCGCTGTCGCGACTGTGCGACGGGCGCCCGCAGTGAGTGCGCGAGCGCAACAGCAACATAATTACGCGCGAGCGATAAGGATGGGTAGCTTGAGGTCATTGGACAAAATTCTACGTGCTCGCAGACCAAACTATACCTAAGTACACTCCGACAAACGTTACTTCGATATTACGTTACTCTGACACTTCTGAATATCGACATGACTTTACTCGACACTACACTACTCAGACAAAGGCGAATATCCTTTGTCTGAGTAGTGTCGATATTCAGAAGTGTCGGAGTAACGTAATGTCGAAGTAACGTTTGTCGGAGTATCATTTTATAGCCTTTGTGGAGCTGGCTAGAGCTCGGGCGGGACCGCAGCGGGGTGCCTGCGTACGCGCATAACGTTGACCTGGAGGTCACGTGACATTGTGTTGAGCGGTAGCTCGTTTAGTAAAACGTTGAGCTGGATATCACGTGACAATATGAGCTGGAGATCACGTGACAATTTGAGCTGGAGATCACTCGGCGTCGTCTTGAACTGGAGATCACTTCGTGTATTGTTTAGCTGGATCGCACGTGACAATGTCGAATTTGTGATCACGAGGCATGACGTTGAGCCAGATTTCACGTGGCGTTAAACTACAGCTCATGTGGCATAGCGTTGAGATAGAGCTTACGTGAAATGCTAGACTTTTAGTAAGTGATATTTCTGAAATGTTTCACGTTTTAGTAAGTGATATTTCATTAATCTCATTTTCACTATTTCACTCCCCAGGGAGCATAGTCGTCGGCGGCAACGGCAGCGGCACCGGCGAAGCGGGCTGGTCGCTCGGTACTCTGCCGTTCCGCGTGGTGTCCCGCCTGCTAGAGACCAGCGGGCCGCTGGGCTCGCCCGAGGCTGTCGCCTTACGCCGCGCCCTGCTGGCGTTGGGCGCCGTGCGGCTTGTGCTCGCCTGCCTGGCTGTGTTCACGCACCATAGACCCGCCTCCAACGATGTAAGTGTTTTTGAAGTCTTTTTTTTATGCGTAAGCGGGCGGACCACTGATCCTTTTTTTTCCAAAATAAAATTTAGCCTATGTTACTCGTGGATAATGTAGCTTTCGAATAGTGAAAGAATTTTTAAAAACGGTCCAGTAGTTTTTGAGCCTATTCATTACAACCAAACAAACAAACAAAGTTTTCCTCTTTATATTATTAGTGTAGACAATGGCAGGTTGACCGCAATTGCACCTGGTGTTAAGTAAGATGCAGTTTAGGATGCTACATTATCTGCCCTGTAAGTGCCTATTCACACTCGCCTTGAAAAGTAATACATACGACAGTAACATAAGAGCTGATTCTTTTCTTTATTGTTTTTGACTGTACAGTCTGAAAGTCGAATTTAGGAATGTAACGAGCCGCACAGGCATTTAGATATCACTTTGAAAGCTGATCCTGGGATACGCTTAAAATATCAGCGCCAAGGGAAAGTGTATAGCTTTAGCCAGTGTCCTACAAATTCCGTCGCATTTCAGAACAAAACAAAGCAGTTTTCTAGCGTTGAATTTCAAAAGTTTGTCCACTTTCTCTCATACAGAACAGCCAAGCCTCAAACGGGTCGGGCAAGTCGGAAGACAAGAGCCAGCTGTACTGGGCCAAGGGCACGGGTTTCGGCACGGGCTCCACGCAGCAGTCGTGGAACGTCGAGCAGGCACTCGTGCGCCAGCGCACTGAAGAGGAGCACGTCACTGTGCTCTTGCAAGTAAGTGGCTAGTGGTTTGAACTTTATTGCCTTGACTCTAGGTTGAATATCAATAAAATATTCAAACTGACTACGATAAACTGTTAACATCTGGGGGCGTAGTGTGAGTTTACATCAAACGCATTCGATGTTGACTGCGTAAGAAAGTGACATAAATGTATGACAAATTGTACAGCGCCCCTAGCGGAAACTTTCAAGAACTAAATTCTTCATATATATTTTAACGCGCTTGCTAGTGACGACGTTTGATTTGAACTCACACTAAACCCTCTGTTCAGTGTCTAAAGCGGGTTTTCCACCGAGAGATGAGCGAGCCTTTTATTTGTTTATTGTTAACCGTTTGTTCGGAAAACATACGGTTATTATTTAATGACTCCGTTTACATCGCAATACAAAAATGCATAGTGAAAAATATTTTGCATACGTCTGTTTTTACCAACAAAAAGTCGGCGAAAAGACAGAGAGCAAATGGAGTAAAAATTAGCTCTCTCATCGAATCAATTCCCCCGAACTTTTGCAATCCTATTTTATGTAAACAAAGACCGCTCCGTTAGACATCTCTAGTTCATCCCTCTTTGGCGGTGGAAAACGCGCTCAATGGAGGCGTAACATACTTGAAAACTAACGGCTAGATATTTTGCCTCATTAAAAACATCTTTCTCTCCAACAGGTCATAGCCTCATACATGAACCCCGGCGAGAAGTGGCCTCCCGAAGAGAACTCCTCCGAAGACGAGTCCTCTTCCGGGCGGTCATCGACCCCCGCGGAGACTGAGGGCGAGGGGGAGGGGGAAACCGAAGAGGACGAGCCACGTGACCTGCCCGCAGAGTTCATCGACCTCATTGCCAGCAGCTCGCTGGTGCCCGCGATATGCTCGTACCTTAGGAATGACTCGGGTGAGTTGTTTTGTTTTTTTATGTTTTTTTTTATCGCTCCGCACAGGCGATTTGTATGAACTGCTAGGGAGCGGAGCGGTTTCTCCGAACCGCATTACTCTAAAACGCTCCTTAGAAGTTTATACAGATTGGCCGTGCGGAGCGGGTCCGCACCGGACGGTCCGCGTGACACTAAAACCAGCCTGAGAGAGGCATTTCACCCATAGGACGTCTATTACTGAACATAGTAGAGGACGTCCTATGGCTGAAATGATAATGTTGATGAAATATTCATGTAAATTCAAAGTTCTTTTAATATTGGTATCTCAGTAAGTTTTAGGCATAGATGTTTTTGTGGTTTACATAATTTTGCTCACTGTTACTAACAAATAAGAGAGGTAGAAAATTAAGACCCCTTTGTCTTTTGAGGTCAGTTTCAATGTACTGCCTCAAAGCAGCGATAGCGTTAACTTTTAATTCGCCACATATTGTACGTTATTCCCTTTGCCTTAAGGTCCAAAAACAATTAAATTTGTATGCCTAGTTATTGGTTAAATTAGCTTTTGTAAGGCCTAGTTTTTTGATTCGTAGGTAAAATTTGACAGTATGTCCAATGACAAGTGGTTAAATATCAGAAAAAAATATTTATCTGACAATGGTTAGCTTGACTTTTAGTATATTTTTTTAACTATTAGTTAACATTTTGTTAATATTTAACCATTAGTAGCAAAATTTCACAAATTTAACTATGAATCAAAAAACTGGGCCTAAGTGTTCTTCAAAAGTGTCCTCAAAAAATAACTGATTGAAATGTTTGCATACAGTGTTGGACATGTCGCGGCACATCCCTCTGTACGTGTGCGTGCTGCGCTGCGCACGCGCACTGGTGGGCGCGCGCAGCCGGCGGCTGGCGCCCGCGCTGCGCCCGCTGCCGCGCCTGCTGCACAACATGAGCCGCACCACCAACTCCTACGCCGCCAAGCTTAGGTACGCATACAATCTATACTTCTATACTAATATTATAAAGCTGAAGAGTTTGTTTTTTTGTTTACTTGAACGAGCTAATCTTAGGAACTACCCACAGATATAGATAGATGCAGCATGTGAAAAAAATTGTATGAAGCCGAGCGTGCCACTTTTTAAACGTCATTAGTGTCATTTTAGCGAATTTTAGTGATTTCCGCAACGTAAAAATAATCGTATCATCGTACTGCATTCGCAAAGTCATCGAAAGATATCGTGTGACTCGATTCGACAATTAATTAATTCCGATAAAACTGATAATTTGTTAAATACAAAACCAAAAACATCTTTATTTACCATTTTAAATAAATTAATTCTTACAAATCGTCAAATCTCGTTATTTTTTTTACCCTACCAGCGTTTCAAGACAAAAATTGGTCAAGTGCATGAATACATGGATCAGTGTGTGTCTTATGCCCGTTTTCACCATCAATCCCTAATTTTTACGTAACCCCTAAGGTAACAAATTATATGAATTTTGTTTTCATAAGGGTCACTTAAACATTAGGGTTTGATGGTGAAAACGGGCATTATTGTTATTAAAGTAAGTACGGTTCCTTGTGAGCGGTATGAGTGCACCACATACACGGACCATGGTTTTAACTCTTAAGAGTACATCGCAGGATATGTATTAAAAACAATGCTACTTTATACTTCTTCTACTGCTACTTTATTCTAATTAATTATTTTTTTCTTTATTAGGAAAACATACAGCTTATATTATGATACATGTAGAATAAAAATAATAAGTCTTACACAAGCCTATGAGTTTTCACTGGTAATTTAAAATTGAAAAGACAGATTCACAATACTTAATTATCTAACTTAAACATTTAAAACCATGGACAAATTTTATTTGTAAGGTGTATTAATACACATCATTTTATGCCTTTATTAGGCCACGGAACCGCATAGGCCTCTCGTGAAATATGTCAACGTGACCATAATCACTGTCATACTTTTTGCAGGCTCTAATGACAAAACAGTTATTTCTATAATTAGTCCTACATAGTGGCGTCATAAAAGTTTTTCCGTGTCTTGCGTTAGGTCTAGAACACCTGAAAGACGACTTACTCAATAAATTTTATGTTTACTCTTGCTTTGTATACCTTAAATTGTGGTGAATAAAGACATTCTTATTGTTATGCTTTACGCGTGTCATGTCCAGGCGACGTCTGCGCTGGTGTGGCGCGCGGAGGGCGGCGCGGGCGCGGCGGGCGCGGGCGAGGCGCTGGCGGCGCGCGCGCTCAGCGGCGCCTCGCGCGAGGCGCGCTACATCGAGCTCATGCGCACCATGCAGTTCGGTGAGTCACATACATTCAAAATTATCAAAATTTTGCCACAGCTTCTCGTATTTGCCCTCATCAGTGGGCGGGCGTCACTATAGAGTCAAAGTCAAAGGTTTAATCCACTACTTTACATCCCTTACCGGGACGCTTAAACACGTCCCACTCTCGGATTTGATCAAATATTTGTCAGTTTGTCATAATCAGGGCTATCGTATTTACCCTCAACGTTCGGCGCCACAGTAGAGTAAGGTTCTGTCACTCGATAGTGGTGTCAACTAGTGAGCGCTGAAGTGGTAAGAGGA